TATAGCTGTATGTATAAGAAATAATATAGTGAATGAAAAGTTTCCCACAAAGGAAATAGTATATATCAAGCGAGAAAAGCCGCATATCAAATTTATAGAAATAAATCATAGCTAGAATAAAAGAGAAATGTTTTAAAGTGGATGTGTTTGATACAATTTAAGATAAATTAATCAGGCTTACATCGACTTCCCATATGTGTACACACATATCGAAAGAGCCAGTAGCCAAAAGTCTCCCATCAGGGCTAAAGGCAACGCTGTAGACGGGTTCTGTGTGTTTAAGAAGGCTTTTACGACAGCAACCCATTTCAACATCCCATAAACGGACGGTTGAATCAAAACTCGCGCTGTAAATATTGGGAAAAGGAAAAGAGAAAAGAAGAAAATCGCTAGAGATATTTCATTCAGCTAAGATACATAGGTCTTAAAGAAAGACCATTTAATAAGCCGTTCTCTTAAAGAAATAATAGCGACCTGCCCATTAAAAAGCAAATGTTATAGGATTTCACGAAGCCTTTTTAAACGGACTGTGTTATCGAAGATGGAGTGAATTTTTTATAAAGTGTAAGAGACTTATATAGAAAGTCTTAGAAGGTTAAAATACTTTCCCAACCAATCTCAAAGGTTTTACTGGGTGAAAAGGAAGAAAAAAGCTTACAATTATGTTAAAATTAGCACCAAAAGAAATGCATCGTTTAATAGAAAACCACACCAAGTAAAAGGGCTTGGTTACGTTTACACACATGCGACATGTAAGGATATAGGTTGTATTTGAAAAGAGTACTAGGACAGCATTTAAACTAGCATCTGATGAGTCTGCATAGTTGCTAAAATCAAAAATGAATGTAGATTAAATAAAAATATATAACCATCGGGACTTTTGATAAGCCGCTAAAATGAAATAAGATTACATCTAAATTATATAACCGAAAGAATAAAAAAGAACGGCTGAGTTCTGTTGCACTGCAGCCGTTTGGCTCTTATACGACGTTGAGTCCATGGGACCTTCTCCCTTTGTAAGGTGAAAATGGGCTGAGCTTTCGTACACCATATGAAAAGAGGGAGGTAACATGGACTGCATCAATTTCAACGTCGTATAAAAGCCAAACAGCTGCAGTATAACGGAGTTCAGCCGGCCTCTTATGATAAGATCGACCTCCGAATTTCTTCTTCATACGCTTTCATACAAGAGAATATAGTATTAAGTGTTTAAACTAAAATGGTTGAGAATATCCATAAATGCACGTCTCGAGCAAAATAAGGTTGAGATGTGCTAACATTTACGCAAAATTAGTTTCTACGATTCAGGGGTTATATATATATATATGCAGATTCAAATTAATAAATTATATATGTTCACAGATTTGTCTGTGTACATAGCATATGCATATACTTTTTTAAAGTCATTTAAATGGCCTGCATAAAACGTAAACTAAAATCAATTAATTTCTGAAAATAAGATTATCTAAGCTAAAAAAGCGGCTAAATAGGATATCAAATGAGTATGCAATTCTCCATGTATTTATAACTATATAGCCATTTAATAAGTTAAAGAACAAACAAAAAGAGAGACGAATTAGAGACAAATGTGAATAAATATGTAGGAAATAGATGTTTGATTAAAGAGAGGGCGAGCAAATCGGCAAATCGGTAAATCGATAAATCGATAAGGACTAGCTGAGGCGTAGTAAAGTAACGAGACGATCCAATCAAAATCGTCAGAGAAGAAATCGGTAGCTCCGAGGCCTTCCCACCTGGCTGCCTGTGAAGAGGCGGAAAATGTCGACGACCTTGCCTATGGTCGTCTGTCCAATTGTCGCGCTGTCTTACAGACGCGTTAGGAGGGTCTCAATTCGATGACCTTTCAGTCGCTCCCACAAGAACCATTGTAGGCGCATCAACGGGCTGTCATGTGTCTGCGTGTTTAAATTTATTCATGGAGAAGCGAGGACGGATTGCGTCTATCCGACCGTCCGGTTTTCCGGCGTTGATGCCTGTGCGAGTGTCTGTCTGTTGATAGCTATTTTTACGCGGTCGATTTAAGGATTTAGATAACGTAAAAGCAATAGAGGCTAGAAGGTGGACAAACAAAGAGATGGGCAAGGCAAATCGGTCGGGACTGGGCCTTTAGGCGAAGGTATGAAAGCCAGGCATTCTCTCTGTTCATTGGACTCGTGTAGGCCCACGGGCCAAAGTAGACTTGCCAGAAGGTGGCAGTGGCACGCTTACAAAGATACCGGACAAGTGGAAATGCGACTACCAGCATCAGCAATGCGTCACTAATACTCGTGAGGCCAGGCGAGACTTACAGCAAAGTGACAAAGAGGAAAGGCTTTTGCACGTATCATAAGATTTATTCAATGTACGAATTGGTGAGGTTGCCAATCGTTGTTTCCAGGCCTGCATGTCTCTCGATCTGCAAGAGTAGAAACGTTTCTTTAATCTTATCGCTCTATCCTATATATCTCGAAGCGTAACAAGATCTGTTCCTTTATTCCCCGTTGTACATTTATTATGTATCTTCTACATTGCATTTATGTGCATACATACATACATACATACATAAATACATATATATATGTATATATATGTATATATATGAGTAGGAATATCGATATATTTATTTATTGGTAGGTGAATGAAAGCATTTAGGTATGTATGCACATAAATGCAATGTAGAAGATACATATTGAATGGATAACGGGGAATAAAGGAACAGATCTTGTTGCGTTTCGAGTGTAGTGGCCGTGACATAGGAACGAGTTGAGCGGAGAAGAGAAGTAGCCACAAATAGACAGTGTTGAGTGGTTAATGTCAATCGCAATGCTACAGCGATAGGAATAGACATGTAAATATTTATTGCAGTGCACTCGTCCAATATACAAGAATGTTGAAAAAAACGATACATTCAGGTCGGCAAACTTAAGAGCGTTTATTGCATAGATAAAGCAGTTTTATAGATAGATGGTAAGCATAATTATCGAGATCCAGCGGTCATCAGAAATGTGACTATTTTGCGGAGGGGGACAAAACAAACAATTTGCCATTAAGGAACCAATCTACAGAAAACCCGATAATCAATTAGATTACCGCCGAAATAGATATATGCTTTGCAAAATAAGGAAGGTGCACGACTATGATCAGTCCAAATAAATCGATACCTAAGCGAAGATATTCTGTTATTCAACACTAGTAAGTCAAATAACGAGTCTAAACAAGTGATCTGAAGAATATCGATTAAATGAATGATGAAAACTATGAGCTGTATGCAATAAGTACTAA